CACCAGCACCTTGAAGCGAAATCGGTATGCTATTGGCAGCCAGTGCAGTGCTTTCAGTGCAGGCTGGATGTGCTCCCATCTAGGTAGGCCCATCAACAGCCTGGCTGCGGCGTTCTGCACTAGCTGCAGCTTCCGAATTTGCGACAAGGGCAGCCACATATAGAAAGCGTTACAGTAGTCTACTCTCGAGGTGACCATCACGTGGATCACTGTGGCCAGGTCATTGCGGTCAAGGAAGGGAACCAACTGCCTAATCAGCTGAAGATGGTAAAAGGCCAACTTAGCAGTGGCTGATACCTGGGCCTCCATTGTTAAGGAGGAATCCAGGAGCACTCCCAGACTCCTAACCTCCAGCGCTGGCACCAATGGTGCCCCGTCGAATGTCGGGAGTGGGGTCCCCGCCCACAAACTGCTCCGACCCGTACACAGGACCTCCGTCTTCGCTGGTTTCAGTTTCAGCTGACTCAGTCTGAGCCAGCAAGCCACGGCCTGTAGCGCCCGGTCCAGATCTTCAGGACTGGAGTCCGTCTGGATGCCCAACATTAGATAGAGCTGGGTGTCATCAGTGTATTGGTGACACCGCAGCCCATACCTCCAGGCCATCTGGGCAAGGGGGCGCACATAGATGTTAAATAGCATCGGGGAGAGCACTGCCCCTTGAGGCACTCCACACTCCAGCACGTGCCTCCTGGACTGCTGCTCCCCTAGTGCCACCCTTTGTCCCCGACCTTGGAGAAAGGAAGGAAGCCACTGCAAGGCAAGCCCCTGAATTCCCAGAGCAATTTCTCACACACTTTCCTGACTCTGGCATGCACCCCTTCCACCAGATTGCTTTTTTAAAAACTGAGATACAGCACCAGGACCTACTAGTTCCAAGCTTTCAGTACTGAAAATAAGTACATTGCTAGCACTTTTCTTTATGAAGTTATGAAGGGGAATGTGCACCTTCACATTTAAATGGATGCTGGGATCTAGTAGATTGTGGTGATAGGTATAATAATAATATAGTGATCTAGCTGTTACCACTTTTTAAAAGTCTTCCATTTGTGCATGTGTGGAGGGGGGGGGATGGCTGTGGGGGCTGGGGTAAGGAAAATGGTGCCAGTGTGGGTCGGACCTGCAAAAATGCACACCTTAGTATCCACATAGTATGCAAATGACTGCAGTCTTTCCAGAAGATGGCTCCAAACTAGGTCTGCATGGCCCTAAGCAGAAAGAAACTGAGGAATCAGTGCAGGTAGTGCAGCCTATATAGGAAAAGAAAAGCTATAGCTACATAATATACTTTATTATGCTACTACTGAAATTTTTGGTTTGGCTCCTTTTCTCTGGTGGCTGCTATTCTGTGGATCTGCCTTCTGTTAGAGGTTCAACAGGCATGGCCTCCTCTTTTTGGAGAGGTGAGGATAAAAACATTGTTTGCAATGTCTCAGCAGTTAGCTTGAGGAAAAATTGTATTCTACTTCAGTGGGGGGGGGGAACTCATCCAAGACTGGTTAGGTCATGCCTCTGCTCATTCAGGTAGGGCTATGCAGATTTTTGCATGGCTCCTGTTGGAGACCCATAGGCTGACCTTCCAGTTTTGGATAGCCCTGTGCCCGGTAGGACGCTAGATTTTATTTTAAAAAATTATTGTAGTTGTGTATTGATTTGGTTTGTGTTTCTTGTAAATGGTTATAACTGAAAGGTGGTCTATAAATATAAACAATAAACCACTCTTATACATGTGAAGCTGCAGGGAGAAAGAAGAGGTAGCATTGTTAAAAGATTAACAGCTATGCTCTGTATTTAGCTGATAGTGGCCCAAGGTTAAATGAATTTAATTCATAGTACTAAAGAGGTGTGGAACAAAATAAGATTTAAAAATGAGAGGGGGACTGTACAGTTAGGCCTCTGTAGATTATTTTGCTCTGAATTTTTGTCTGCTTTCAGCAAATCCAGTGCAACTTTATTGTCGTTATACATCCTGGTTCAATGACCTTAAAGATTGGAAGAGCTACGGACACACTTCCTGTTAGCATTCCTCATGTTATTGCAAGAAGACACAAACAACAAGGGCAACTCACATTCAAAGACAGTTGGCTTCTAAGAGAAGGACTCAATGTAAGTCATAGATACCTCAGCACTGTATTAAGTTGAAGGAGTAGCTGCCTGATTGCATTCTGTCAATTTTCACGATCCTTCTGGTGTCCTAAATCTGCCTAGTTGTCCACGCTTCCCATAACATGTGTCTGAATTGTACAAATACCCTTGACCTTCGTAGCAACATACATTTGTATTGCATCATCTACCCCAACCACACGTGGAAATTGCTGTGGGCATTAACCATACTGTTACTACGTGTGAGCTAAAGGCAGATGTACCAAACATGTGTGTCAGTGTGAATGTGGGCCGTTTTCAAAACTAAGTCCACATTTATGCCAAATAACCTTTCATCACCACTAAGAGAGCTGTTGGAGTAAATTCTACTCCCACCTTAAGGAATACTCCTAGTCTGAGTGGCAGTCCACGCAAATTACTGTAATGGATCTTCGACAAAGTAGCAAAATATGTCTGCAAGCTTGAGAGGAGCAATGAAAATAGGAATAGACTGAAAACAGAAACAGAGAAAACAGATGCGTAGACAGTTGGTCCCTAAAAGCGCCACAACACTGCAGATTGGTCCACTCAGAAAGGAAGATCAGAGGCGAAGCGAAAAAGAGGACTGATGGGAGGATGCCAGTTCACACAAGCCTAAACAAAAGACCAAACCCAAGAGGAATCTGGGCAGCAAATAACCCAAAGGAAAGCAAACCACGTTCCAAGCTACTTCACTAACATGGGTGGTGTAGCAATCAGCCACATCCAAAACAACCTCTAAAAGTTTATTTTCTTTCCAATGTTGGAAAGAGAGGAGTGGGAAAGGTGGGACCTTCAGGTGTATAACTTGACTGGCCAAGGTGGGGAGAGGCTGTCTGAGGATTCAAGCCCCATCTCTACTCGTGTAGAAGTTATATTAAGAACCAAGCAGGCATAAGCACTACAAAGGGTGCAAGTCCAGAGGTTGTCTTTTTCCTTGATCCTTTTCAAGGTGGCAGAAGTGTGTTATGTTCTGTACATTGTTGACACAGTTGATAAAGGTTATAATATAAAAACTGTATTAGTCTTTAACTGCAGCATAGTATCTTTTCCCATGTGGGCTACAGGCTCTAGTATTACCAGTTTATCAGCAGGGGACCCATGAGGATTCGCTGGAAAGGAAAAATCCTCCCTCCCATCCTTACTGGCCTTCTCCCCACATGTTCTCCAATTACCTCTGCTCCCCCCCACACACACACACGTTCTGCAGTTGCCTCTGCTTTCCCCTCCCTATTTGTTCCGGAATAGGAAGAATTTTCTGATATTACACTGACTCCCACTTCTCTACCCCCACCACACACACTGGCATCTGCCTCCCCTCTCTTTCCTTCCTTCTCACCGTTTTCTTCACACACACACACCACACACACTGCTGTTTTCTCTCCCAGGATTATTTCACTCCCCCTCGTGACTACCAAGGCCTTTCCTTTGGGATTTCCCTGACAACCCAAAATATCAAGATTTCATGAAGCTGTGTCTTAAGAATTTGGCTGCTGTTTTGCTTGCAACCTCTGCACTAGTGAATGGCATTGCTTCTCCATTTTGTGGGGTCACTCCATCACTTTTTAGTTTTAAGATACGTCTACTGTATCTGTGGGTTGTGGATTTTTTTGTCTATATGATGGGACTAGAGCATGGCATTTAGATATATGATAGGAACCACGAGAGAGATTTCTATGTTTAGAATCATAGAATGTTAGAGTTGGAAGGGACCTGGCAGGTCATCTAGTCCAACCCCCTGCACTAATGGCTTTTTTTGCTTTCATTTAGAAACCCGAAAGTCCTGAACAAAGACAGAATGGCCTTAAAATGGTTGATCAAGCAATATGGTCCAAAAAGATGTCAAATGGGGCCAGGCGTATACCAGTATCACCTGATCAGGTAACCCACTTACAGACTGTAGTGCAGTGGTCCCCAATATCTTTGAGCCTGTAGACACTTTTGAAATTCTCTGCAGGGTAGTGGGCACAACCACAAAATGGCTGCCAGAAGAGGTGGAACCTACCAAAAACCATACTCACACATTTATATTTATTAGTTTATTTAAAATACTTACGTCCTACCATCTCTCTCTATAAACTAAGTTGGACAAGATTGTCCTTGGTCCAGTACAGCAATGCTTCGACAGGGAAAGGAATTCTTTGCTACCCTTTTCAGATATCAGGGCAACCTGGCTACAACATCGGCCCCACACCTGCTCCAGCCAGCCGGCTTACTTTTCTTTTGCAGCTGAGGATCCTTGTGCTGTGGCTTCTGACTACATCTGCTGTCGAAATAATGTTTCCATTGTCCCATCAGAAGCCCTGCTTTGCAAGAGGCTCATCTGGGCTCATCAACTTCTGTGTTAGGAACCCTGCTCTAGTTGATAATTTCTTTGGTATAATACTTCAATTTAGGAATAATTGCTTTAGACTGAAAAGCCCCCCCCCCTTTTTTTTTTGTTGGTAACATTTTAGGTCCGGTCTTACAATAGACAGATGAGGCCTGCTATTTTAGATCACAGTTCTGGGACCAAATGGACAAACACAACCCATCATCCAGCATATCTCATTGGAGAAGAGGTAGGGACTTTCTCATTTTGTTAAGAAATCTAGCATCATACCATGGCTGACTGACTTAACAGTTTCACAGGCATGTGCATTTTAAAAGGTGAATTGTGATCATATACAGTAAGGTAAAGGTAAAGGTTCCCTTGCTCAAAAGCCAGTTGAATCCGACTCTAGGGTTGCGGTGCTCATCTCCGTTTCAAAGCCGAAGAGCCAGCGCTGTCCGAAGACGTTTCCGTGGTCATGTGGCCGGCATGACTAAACACCAAGGCGCACGGAACGCTGTTACCTTCCCACCAAAGTGGTACCTATTTATCTACTTGCAATTTCTTGCTTTCGAACTGCTAGGTTGGCAGGAGCTGGAACTAGAGATGGGCGCTCACTCCATCATGCGGCACCCAGGTCTCGAACTGCTGAACTACTGACCTTCCACAGCCTGCAGTTCAGCATCTTAACCACTTGAGCCACTTTATAGTATATAAAGGAGCTGGTCACAGTCACTTGTCTCCAGACATGTTTATGAGTCCAACTAGATAAATGATCTATAGCAAAATGGATGGCCTGAAGGGTAAAAAATAAATTTCTGAGATTTAAAAAGTATTTGCTGCTTGACCGTCTGGAGGTAATTCTTATTTGCTGTTGGTTCCCAGGCAAGTAGCTGTTTATAGGCTGAAGTAAAGAAATCAAGCAGAGATGGATACTGAGAGGAGGGAAGAAATAACCCAAATGCTAGTACAACATGTTTGTTGTATGTGACCTACCACAATTTGGACTCGTGTTTTATTTATTTATTTATTTATTTAACTTTTACTCTGCCCTCCCCGCTGAAGCAGGCTCAGGGCGGCTCACATAAAACCAATTTAAATCAAGTCAGTCTTTATTATGGCCCAAGAGCCATACAGAAGCAGAACAAATATGTTAATTAATTACCTACAATCATATAGCTACATATATCACTCATCCTAGTACATCAGACAATTAATAAAGAATTATACACACCGTTATCTCAGCCTATATTTTCATAGCAGAGGACAGAAACTTACCTACTTGTACACTGATTCTTTGGTCAATTCTAGCTAATACATTTTAAGAACCTTCTGCTCAGAGAACAGATATTTATCAACCAAAATATGTTCTAGTAAATCCAGGTGTGCTTGACTACAAAATCTACAGTGAAACAATACACTAGCCAGTGATTCAATCAAACACATGAGCAGGGACAAAATCTACAATGGGCTAGAATATTTTACATCTTCTTGTCATTAATGTAGTTGATAAAACTTTAAATCTGGCCAGCATAAAAGTGTGTCAATAGTTAATGTTGATAAATTGCATGAATGCTGATGTGGAATCATGAGAGCCAAATTGTGTAAGAGAGGGGGACGCACACCACAGGCTTGACCCAGCATTTCTTAATATTCATATTGTTTATACAGTTCTCAGTTACCAAAATAGCTTTACTGTAGATTTTTTTAAAGAAGGGAAAAGAACCATTGTAGTCACTTTCTCACCTATTGGTTTAAGCCCAATTTGAGTATAAGGATTCGTCATTAGGCTATGAAGAAAATGATTCTGATTATTAATAAACAGAAAATGAATTCTGAATTTAGAGGGATAGCCAGAACAAATTTATAAGCAATATAGAACCAGCTGATAATCTAAAAGCCATGGGGCTGCACATCTAGGCGCTTTAAAATAGATTACCTTTGAAAGAGATACTAAGCTGAGTTTCTTTTCCTTTTCAGGCATTATATGTTAACCCTTTGGATTGTTACAATGTTCACTGGCCTATTAGACGAGGACAGTTGAACCTTCATTCAGGGCCTGGTGGCTCCCTTACTGCAGTCCTAGCCGATCTTGAAGTTATATGGTCACATGCAATACAGAAATATTTAGAAATACCTCTTAAGGATTTAAAGGTGAGCTACAGCTGAATACAACTATGACTGCCAGATTCTTACCACTATGATGGCTTTGGCCATTATAACCATGCACACCTGTCCTTCCTGAGGTCACCTATTGAAACTCTTCCCTCATTTATTAAGAAATAATTATGAGGGGGCACACAACTTCTTTACAATTGTGGCAGTCACTCTCTATAATTCCTTCTCATTGCTGCACTGATTGGTTGATTTCCTTTACAGTTTCTGCTGCTGTTTGGCCCCGGTCACACGAGAGGATTTGGGCCAGGAGAGGGACGGATTGGGGGCGGAGCAAGCATATTATTACTATATTTTTGATTAATGTTTTTTAACATTGTATTTTGTTTAATTATATTATGAAATATATTTAGTTAAATCCCACCTTTCCATTGAGTTAATATCTAGAGCATCTTGTGGTCAAATTAAAAAAAACATTCTAAACAAAAAAAAATCACATTAAAACTGCAACATTTCACTTCAGTCAAAAAGCCACATCACCATTGCAGATAGTGAAAACCATTTGCAAACTAAAACCTACCAAAACCTTGGGTAAATGAAACAGTTTTCACATCATAATATGTAGAAATAGAAAAAATGTGGGGTAGTTTGAGTGGAAGAATTAAGACCATTTGGGTGTTTTTAGAAGCATTTGTGAAACATCAAAACCTTTTAAATGTTCCACAAATGTTCCTGTTGCCTGAAGTAAAATGTATTCGGATGCACTTGCATATTATTATTATATTTTTTGATTAATGTTTTTAACATTGTATTTTGTTAAATTATATTATGAAATATACATAGTTAAATCCCACCCTTCCATTGTGTTAATATCTAGAGCATCTTGTGATCAAATTAAAAAAACTTTCTAAACAAAAACAAAATCACGTCAAAAAGCCACATCACCATTGCAGATACTGAAAACCATTTGCAAACTAAAACCTACCAAAACCTTGGGTAAATGAAACAGTTTTCACATCATAATATGTAGAAATAGAAAAAATGTGGGGTAGTTTGAGTGGAAGAATTAAGACCATTTGGGTGTTTTTAGAAGCATTTGTGAAACCTCAAAACCTTTTAAATGTTCCACAAATGTTCCTGTTGCCTGAAGTAAAATGTATTTGGATGCACTAAATTTTCCACTAATGTAAGAGGTGAGATAATTTTCAGCATTTCACTCTTCCTACTGCGAACCCCTGATTTGACTCTCAGGCTGTTTTTGAGGGTCCCCACCCAGTGACTCAGGAACAGGATTTTGAGGAGGTCAGTGGGCTGCAGTAGGAGAGACAGCAGGAGTGTTCTGTTCCACTGACAGAAGTGCTTTAAGTGAGTGGAAATGTTAAGTCTGGATCCAACCCTATGTAAACAACAAAACTGACTCTACCGTGAACCAGTAGTTTACCGTCTTCCAGTTGCCTTCTTCTAGACCTCATGACAATGTTTATGAAGAGGGATGGATTAGAATGGGAATCCCAATTTGGTTCTTCTCTTTTTTTCAGTATTACCGATGCATTTTACTGATCCCAGACATCTATAATAAACAGCACGTGAAAGAAGTGGTAAATATGATCCTAATGAAGATGGGCTTCTCAGGTAGTAATGCAGCATCTGCCATAATGCAGAGTTTTTCAAATGATCTTTGTTTCTGAATTTGAATCCCATGAGACTTCTGACCTTTTTGATTGTAGCCCAGCATCACCGGATGGTATACTTCTTTTTATCTGTCAAAACTGAACCATTGTGAAATAAGTATCATGCAGTATTATGGCCACTTTTGTTTTTAAAAAACTACTCACAGTTTTGGAACAACATGATTGTTTCTGAGGCCATAATGGCCAAAACCTACTTAACTGTCTTTCATACAGCTGGCTCACAGATAGTTTCTCACCTAAGTTGCATGGAAAAAGATTACTGTGAACAAACGTGTATAGCTCATGAGATTTACGACATCATGGTGGTTAAACCATATACTATTAGATATGAAAGCATCATGTACTGAGTCTTGTGGGAGTTGCTTCTCTGGAGTGCTGCCTCGTAGATGTGGCTTGTGTATGAGTACCACAGTAGTGCAGATAGGGACAAATGTGTGCATTTCCCCCACTTGATTGGTACAAGAACAACACAATGAGTTTGCATTCATATTGTACAGCTCATGAGATTTATGACATAATGGTGGTTAAACCATACACTATTAGATGTGAAAGCATCATGGACTGAGTCTTGTGGGAGTTGCTCCTCTGCAGTGCTGCCTCGTAGATGTGGCTTGTGTATGAGTACCACAGTAGTGCAGATAGGGACAAATGTGTGCATTTCCCCCACTTGATTAGTACAAGAACAACACAATGAGTTTGCATTCATGGAGCCATCGATTGCTTTGTGTGTGGCAGGAAAAGTGAGATCCAGGTCCAGTTATGATTCTCCCCACCCATGGCTTGTTCCTCAGCAAGCAAGGTTTCTATATGTTTACTGAACAGGTAGTTGGGAGGTTGTGGACCACAGATTTTAAAAATCAAACTATTAAACAGAGAAGCTGTGAATATTTTTTTTTTACTATTATCAGTTACAAGTTGATTTACAAGAAATACAGATAGTAAAGAAATACACACCTTTGTCTCTCCTTGTTTGGAATACAAAATGCTGTCTCAGAAACACATCTTTCCTCAAAGTTTTATAAAACACGGAGTGTGTTCAGCTGTGTTGGACATGAAAAACGTGTCTAGATCACCTGGCAAAGTAGTGATGTACATTACAACCTTCCCCCTTTTCTGTTTTTAGGAATAGTGGTGCATCAGGAATCTGTCTGTGCTACTTTTGGAAGTGGCTTAGGTAGTGCATGTGTTGTTGATGTGGGAGATCAGAAGACCAGTGTTTGCTGTGTTGAAGATGGTGTTTCACATCGTAATACCAGGTAGGTATCACAGAGTGGGAACAAAATCTTAATAGGCCGTTACAATCTCTAGGTCTAGGAGTTCTATACAGGGTAATAATGTACCTTATCCCTGAGGACTTTCATGCAAGGCTTGTGAAAGAGACTTAAAACTTTGTATTGGCAAAATGATGGTGTGGCTTATATAAAACACATACATGCTGGCATAGCAAGACTTGGTATAACTGAAGTTGTAATCCTGGGTGCTCATATTTAATAGGCCTTTTTGAAAAAAGTTCATAGAATCATAGAGTTGCAAGGAACCTCCAAGGTCATCTAGTTCAACCCCCTGCATAGTGCAGGAAATACACAAATACCTCCACACCCAAAATTGGGCTCGTTTGGGATTGTAAACCTGTAAGCTGTCTTCTTCTTCAGCACTTAAAAGAGACATTTTGCCATTTAGACCAGGTAAACTTAAAACCCAGGTGCCGGGCTCATCTCTCTCTATGTTCCATTGCCCTAAGGATATTGGTTGGTGACAAACTAGTGTAGGGGGCCACAACCTTTTTGAGCCTGTGGCATCTTTGGAATTCTCACATAGGGTGGTGGGCATAAATGTTCCCTCACTGGACATTAGGAACCACAACATTCAAAAATCAGTGGGGGAACATTTTAACCTTCCAGGGCATTCAGTTGCTGACCTAAAAGTAGCAGTTCTCTCACAAAGGAATTTGAAAGGGAGATTAGAAAGAGAGACTGCTGAATTGCAACTGATAACGAAGCTCAAGACACTGCATCCACCTGGATTGAATTGAGTCTTAGGTTTCCTGTCTCATTACCAGTGGTGATTTCTCCACGCCTATTACCCCTCTTCATATCTCACCTAAATCCAATAATGTCTGCTATTGTTATTCACCTGTTATTGTCACTGGCCTGCTAATGTCTTTGGCATCTGAAATCACTCCACTTTCCAATAAATAGGACAGATGGCCACCCATTCTAGCTGTATGTGGAGAAGTGAGCAGTGACTCATAAAAGCTCATACCCTGCCACATTTTGTTAGGCTTTAAGGTGCTACTGGACTCTTGCTCTTTTCTACTGCTACAGACAGACTAACACGGCTATCCACCTTGATTAATAGTACTGTCAGGAAATGGTCTTGCAAGCCCCATTATCGCTTGTCCAGAAGCTCAGCAAGTTCTGTGGCCTTCCCTTTCCTCTCAGTATACCAACTTGTCTCTGGGAATTGTCCTCTGCTACCAACTAATGTGGAAGAGTTATCTTCTGCTAAAAGGATTTTTACTTCCACCACTCTTTACTGAGTTGCCATTTAAAGGCTCTGTGTAGTTGCCACAACTCATGCTTTGTTATACTAGCTAGCACAGGGGACAGTCTGTCACACTTAGGGATGGTGAGCTTTACCACTTTTTGTTCCTTTTACTGCTCTTTGGGAAGTAGGACCAAATTGGGTGTGGTGTTGGTACAGAGATCAGAATGGTCTGTACCAGCATCAGGCCAGAATTGTGTAACATGTTGCCCTTTAAACCCCAACTCTATACATGCCCTACCCTTAAAAGCTGCAGCATTTAAAAGCCTCCATCACCTTAGTTCTCAGAATTTGAGGCTTTCCCCCGTTTTTCTTCAACACATATTCACGATGGAGTTCCATTTTTAAGGCTTAGTCCTTCATCGCTTGAGGCAAAATTACTAAAATATAAGAGTAAGAGTGTTTCTTCGTCGTGTCCAGAAAATTTATAATTTCCCCTTGGGAGAGCATCCCTTGCTGCAGTCATTCCCAATTCCCTGACCCAAAAGGAAGAAATACAATCTAGCCTTCTGGTAAATCTTTTGTTTCAGTATGACCAGAGCCATTTGCGTCTCTAAGCACTGGAGTGTTCCATGCTTGGAGATGATGACTCATCCCCTGTTCTTCTCCTTTGGCCAACTACCAACTTGGAGCCAGGCTCCTGGACATAGGTAGAGTTCAGACCCAATTAGTATAATATAGATGTGCTCTAGGGTGGAATGCATTTTTGCATAAATCCAATATCAGTTGTTTTTTTTACAAAACCACAATAGATTTACCAAAGGTAAAACTAAAGCCATCTGTAAACTAAAACCCATCAAATGCTTTTGTTGAAAAAAAGTCAGAAAAGAGTCCATCACTAGTAGCCTCCCACCTAATCTCTGAAGTGTGGACACCTGTAGCAGGTGCTGATGAGCTCAGCAGATAACCTGACAGTCTTAACAAAATCAGCTTTTGGATTAAGAAACAAACTAGAAGATACTTCATGAACAGTGATAGTTTATAAACTGTGTGGAGATGCTGAACAGAGAGAAATTTACTTCAAATTCTCATCATCTTGACAATGTAAAGTATCCCCTAAGTAATATGTTGTTTTTAGCAGTTTTAATGTCATTTAATTGGATTATTATTGTGTTTGTTCTGATGTAAGCCGCCCTGAGCCCTGCTTGCAGGGAAGGGTGGTATAACAGGTTGGATTTAATAAAGAAAAATAAATAAAGTTTTCTGTGTCCCAAAATATTAGATTGTGTGGACACCCAATGAAATTGATTGGCTGTTAGTTCTACTTGACATCAGGAGGAAACTGCTTAACATCGAGCATAATTAACTTACATCATTTGTTTGCCCAAAGGTTTGTGGCCAATAGCATAGATGGTATTAAAAGAGATTAGATAACTTCATTGAGAGTAGTTCTCTCAACATTTGCCTATGGTTGCAAGTCATTGGGGGCACTAATTATTGGGTACCTGTCACTCTCATACTTTCCTTATGACCTCCCTTCAGAAACGGTACTAAGGAGAGTCTGCTTCAGCATCTTATAGTTTTAGCTGAAATGTTATCATCCGGAAGCTCATACAAGGAGACAAGAAGTGATCAAAGTATAACTTTCATCGTAGTTACTGGATATGTTGTGCACACACACAAACATGTACTATCAATATTATCCCCTTTCCATGCTGTGAAAGGGAAGCTTGGATTAAATATAATTAGATACATTAAGGTAGACCTCAGTAGCCACTGCCAGAAGTATAGTTGTGGACTAGATGAACTTTTGGCTTCATCCAGCAAGGCTATCATTTTGTTCTGGGAGCGTGGGATTTTCTAAGTGTTTTGAAGTATAGTATTCATATTTCGGAAGGGCAAACAATTGTTCCCCTTAACATGAATAGCTTAAATATAATATTTTGACACAGGAAGAACAGGTGTTTTCATTGCTGCAGCTGGAAAAGCAGATTATAGAATTTATAAGGTTGCTGAAGTTTTTCAGAAAAGAGCTCTCTGTTTTTTCACTGAGCCAGCAGTTCAGTTTGGGTGCCTGAGTATTCTGTTTGTGTTTTTGCAAGAACTTTGTATAACACCACGTTATCTGCTTCCTTTTGGAATTAAGTTCCATGCACATTGTATAGCTGTGAATTTAAAAAGGAACCTGGGAGAAAGCCAAAATTTACATATATGGGTGAGGTTGTTCCTATACCAGTTTATGAGCTGATAAAGACAGCAAACAGACGTCTGTTAAAGCTTTCATAATGTGTCTGTGTTTTACAATCAGGATTTATCTGGATTGCAAGATCATGAGTTCCAGGTTCGCCACCCAGATTCTCCTGCCTTATTGTATCAGTTGCGGCTGGGAGATGAAAAATTACAGGTAACAGATTAATATTTTACACCGTTCAGAAGACAGTTTAAAGCTGGGAAAGTCTGTAGAAAAAGTGAGGATAACTTTTACCAGCTAAGTTAAAATGTTTTGTCATTCGATCTTCCTTTTAATAATTTTAATGGCTGTAATCTTTAAAAGATGCACAGTGATAAGAGGTGAGATGTAGCCAGTTTTTAAAAACTAAAATGTCAAATATTTGTGTGCTTCTGACTCCTTAGTTTCATTTGGAACAAAAATGTGTGGATCTAAAATAGATTGCTTAGTATTTGAGCCAAGTACAAGTAGGTATAAGGAGCTGCGGTGGCTCAGTGGTTAAGACGCTGAACTGCAGGCTGGAAGTTCGGTAGTTCAGCAGTTCAAGACCTGAGTGCCGCATGACGGACTGAGCTCCCATTAGCTCCTGCCAGCCTAGCAGTTCAAAAGCAAGAAATCGCAAGTAGATAAATAGGTACCACTTCAGTGGGAACGTAACAGCGTTCCGTGCACCTCGGCATTTAGTCATGCTGGCCACATGACCACGGAAACGTCTTCGGACAGCGCTGGCTCTTCAGCTTGGAAACGGAGATGAGCACCGCAACCCTAGAGTCGGATTCGACTGGCTTTCGAGCAAGGGAAACCTTTACCTTCACTATAAGTAGGCATGGCTATAAACAGAAATTTGGAATTCTTTACAGCTCTCCCCATCTCTCATAATTAGGCTCCAATGGCACTGTTTTATCCAGCAATGTTTGGAATTGTGGGGCAGAAAATGACATCCCTGCAACAAAGATCACAAGGTGATTCGGAGGACCCACATGATGAACATTATCTCTTAGCAACACAAAGTAAGCAGGAGCAGGTGTGTGTGTGGTTTTTTCCATTCTTCATGTCCTGTGAGGCCTCTTACCTTGATAGGTTTAATTATATTTAATTAACGCTTTGTTTTCAGAGAACAGGAGGAATGATATTGACATGTGCATGCAAAAACCTCTTGTAACCATGGTGAGGGTCATGCTTTGGTTACCTTTTTCTCATAAGCCTCCTTTTTATTAACGCCTTATATCTGAGCCTTGCTCTCTCTGACGGAGGTTAAAACTGTTAGATATATGAGCAGCGCTCCCTCCAAAGTAGCTCTAGGACTTTGGTGTGCTTTTCCCCAGGCACATTTTTACCGAGATTCAGGAAACCGTGCAAAATCAAAGTTGGAATGCAGGCACTGAATTACTGTACAACTCTGGATAGCTGTGTTAGTCTGCAATTGAACAGCTAGATTCAAGTCCAGTAACGTCTTAGAGACTAACGAGATTTTTGAGGTATGGGTTTTAAGAGTCGAAGCTCCATCAGATACCATATCAAGTGAAAGATTCAGGTGTGGGGTAGCGATGTCAGTCTGAAAAAGCAGAACAAAGCTTGAGTCCAGTGGCACCTTTACGACCAACAAAGGTTTTATTCACGTTATAAGCTTTCGTGTGCAAGCATATGAAAGCTTATACCGTGAATAAAACTTTGTTGGTCTTAAAGGTGCCACTGGACTCAAACGGTATTCTGCATATCTGATGAAGGGAACTTTGACTCTCAAAATCTTGTATCCTGAAAATCTTGCTACCAGACTCAAATCTAGCAGTAAAATTCAAGATGATCTTGCCTAGAACATAAGAGATGCCAATGTTGGATTAGGCCAAAGGCCCATCCAGTTCAACACTCTGCCTATGCTGTTACATTATTCTGGTAGCTATTTTGAATTATGTTATAGAGAAAGACAGGATACCTTCCCCCCCCCAAAAAAATAAAAAAAATTAAAGTAAAACTTCATTGGTATAGGTATAGCACCCTAATCCTGCTGATTCAGTCAGTGTGATTGTACCAGTGTGGTTCCATGATTCTCTTCCACTGTGCTACCGGTCTGCTACAAAGAACTCCAGTCTTGAGCAATAAAAGCTGCTTTTCTGGCCCCTATCCTTAAGGACTGCAGCATTTGACTGTGTAATTAGAATGGGAAGGGTGCCGAAACAGCAGCATGTGTTTCAGGGGTTACTTCCTAACCCTTAAGTTATGGGGTGGGGGGAATCTTAGCTAGCAGGCTGTTCAAATGTATACTTTTTTACACAGTATGGAATTTATTTTGTATTCAATGTAACTTGTTTCCCTGCTTTTAAAGTCTGCAAAAGCAACAGCAGATCGGAAGTCCATGTCCAAGCCTGGTGGATTTGAGGGAGACTTGCGTGGCCAGTCTTCAGGCATTGCTGAAAATCTCTATCCCCCAGAAGTGGAATTGGGCACCTCTCACAGCGACTGTATTATAGGTGGAAATGACTCTGAAGAACAGCTAACAGCTCACATGTCCAGAAAAACTGCTGTATCTCAATTTGAAGGAAAAGCATTAGGCCTTGACAAAGCAATTCTGCACAGCATTGACTGTTGTGGTATGCCCTTTTTTATTTCTTTATTTTATGCTGTGGTCAATGTTCATGCTACTATTCGTTCCGTCAGTTTGCAGAAGATACACGTGGTCTTGGATCCCAGCTAGATTTCAGTGGGTACCGGGAAGAGGCCAATTTTTGCCAAATCCTCTCCCCCGCAGCAACACAAAACACACCCTGAAACGATCTCAGAAATATGCACCCTTCTCCTTTGTTCACAGCAGCAGAAGCACTGTTTGAAGAAACTAGTTCCGATGAGAGATGTCTGTAGAACTTCTCATCTTCTTTTTGTATAGAGTTCATCTTTATATTATTACAGTTACCTTAAACTAGCATGGCTTATCTAACATTGGATTGATACAATTGACCTGAGACTTTCCTTCAGCCCCCAACAACAGGTGGTCAGTATACAGAGGCCGTCGGGACTTATGCCTGCCACCATCTCAGTGGGACACTGTTCAAGGCGTGTGAATGAGACTGTTGCAGATCTGGTTGCCATGACACTTCCTGCCAATCTTTCGTTGCCAGTCTTTTCCATTTGGAAATAGTTGTTCCGTACTTACATGTAATATTACATTCTTCACTTTATATGTAATCCTCATGCTTCTGTTTTTCCAGCATCAGACGATACAAAAAAGAAGATGTACAGTTCCATCCTGGTGGTAGGAGGTGGTCTGATGTTCCACAAAGCCCAAGAATTTCTTCAGCACAGAATTCTCAACAAAATGCCCCCTTCTTTCAGGAGAGTGGTTGAGAACGTAGAGGTTATTACAAGACCAAAGGTAAATCCATTTTCAAATGCTGGTGGAGTGGCTGAGGATAGCCTTAGTCAATCCAACCCTATTGAAAATCTAGTTTCTCTTTTTTTCTTTTTTCTTTTTGCAGTACATACACTTTTAGAGAGTGGCATATTATATATTGCAATTATATATATTTGCCAGTACAGAAAACGTCTTGTATCCTACTTGTGCAATATATACTAGTTTACATAATGAATTAGTATGGCCAGCTTGGTGTAGTGGTTAACAGCAGCAAGGAGAAGTGGTCCTTTGGGGAGACTAGAGTTTCGATAAGCAAGTAGATGGCTGATAGATGGTGGAGAACTTTACATGATAGAGTAGGGGGAGAAATATTCCTGTTCCGCACTTGAGGAAATGGCTGGGGCTGGCCCATTGCTCATTGTCTTGATTATTTGGTCATTATTAAAGCCAGATTATCAGGGAGGCAAGCAACCCCTTAGGTCCTTGGGGAAAAGGCCCTTTTGTTGACTCCCACCAGATATGGCTTTTGCATGATTAATGGAGCAGTTGCTTCAGATTCCCTGCATGCTCTCAGCGTGACTCACTGTCATCAGTTTGATCCAGACTTCATTTTTTTCATTGTTAGGCCCATGCTAAGATGTGCAAGTGTACAGGGATCCAAAATGGAGGGTCCCCTGCAAGGGGGAGTCCCGTGGCATCATATCCCCACCCCCCCACCCCATCGATACCAGTTGTCCTCTGACAGTTGGGATCGCGCAGGTATTGATCCCGGCTTGATGTGTAGCCAGGGGACGACACTACAAGGCAACAACAGTGTTGAGCATGTGACCCTAAACAAAAACAGCAAGCAGGGGGGGAAGAAAGGAGAGGTCTTACCAGGTCTGCCAGCTTGATGATGACTTCAAGGAGGGGTGTCTATACAGTAAACAGCAAATCAAAGCATAAAAATGGAAACCAGTAATCAAAGTGGGCAATTTCAGAACAAAATAAGCAAAACAACAAAAACGACTGATGAATCATGACTGGAGGCACACATTTTAGCAAGATGGGTTAAATCTAATCTGGTCACAGTAGGGTACATCTGTGAGACAGCTGCCATTCAAGAGATCCCAGACTCCTGAGACAAAGGTGCCAGTTGATCTGCGATTGCCCTGGATTCAGTGGCAGACCAACACACAGTTTCCTTAACGTCCTCCCTTTGGGGGAGCTCCTCTATTGTTTGTCCTTTCTATGATTTTAGTTTTAACGGGGGCTACTGGAACAATGTCTGGGTCTGCCATGAAGCCGTTGGGTGGGAGAGAGATGGTTGCAAGGTCCTTGGGACGAACAGAAGCAATTAAGCCTCTGTGCAAGCCAAGTTGCTGTTTCAAGCCCTCTATCTCCACGTGACAAGAAACATAACTTCTACATTTTGGCTTTTGTTCTTTGAAACTTAGCTGCTAATTTTGCTTCCTCAAGCTGGCTCCTAAGGGGAACTGAGTAAGATACTAAATAGCTAAGAATCAGCCTTTTCTTTTAAATAGACACCAGATAAGCGCAACAACTAAGATCCTTTTTGTTTATCAGTAAATGCTACTCTTTCTCCTTATATATTGAGACGGTAAGGGAAATTTTAAGCTGAAGATGACACTTTGCAGGACTATTGGGATGTTGTTAAAGTCAAACGTGATGTATCTCAGGCGTCTAAAGATAAATTTGACAACTGGAGTGATCAAACGGCAGATTAAATGACTAGCTGCTGATTTGCAGAGATAAACAGATTGTAAAAGGAGATTTGGAAACTGTAGGCTTGAATCTTAAGATTTGCTTCTGCTTGTGCCCTGCAGTGTGTGTCTATTGTGGGATGGTTCTGTGCTGTAGAGTGTGCAACCTCTGGTGTCTTTTATCGAAAGAAACTGATGTTGCTTCAATGGAAGCATCTAGCACTGGAGGAACATTCTTCGCAGAGGGATACCATCCTTGTAACAGAAGACGGCTCAGCACAAACGAAGCAAGGCTTAGGATCCAGACCAAAAATAAGACTGTGTTGCTTGTATATATTCTGCTAATTGCTTTGTACGGTGTTTTCATATGACCATCTTACTCCTAGGATATGGATGCCCGTTTGATTGCATGGAAAGGGGGTGCCGTTCTAGCTTGCCTGGACACAACACAGGAGCTTTGGATATATCAACGAGAATGGCAGCGCTTTGGTGTCCGTATGTTACGTGAAAGAGCTGCATTTGTGTGGTGATCCACTGATACTATAGGTAGGACGTAGTGCCAAATATTGTTTGTCCCTGATTTTTTTAAAAATAAAGTTTTATTAAATAAAAAGTAGTGTTCTCCTCATCTGAAAAACAGCATGCAAAATAACCTGAGATCAGGAAATCTAAAAAACGTATTCTAACGAAGGGAGCTTTGATTCTCGAAAGCTTATACCCTGGGAATCTTGTTGGTCTCCAGGGTGCTACTGGACCCCAATCTAGGTATTTTACTAATCTAGTCTAGTGCAGCTGAATTTAGCTCTAGGAGGAAACCTAGGGTTGGTTTGGAGGAGTCACAAAAAACCCTACACTGGTGTGCCAAACCAAAGTTTATTTTTACACAGAAAACAAAGGATAAATGTATTTTAGTAGTTAAACACAACTCATTTTTTTTACAGAGTCGTATAAGACACACTTCTGCTTGTTTGGCTTCTGTTAGAATTAATTGAAACAGAAAATAATTCACTATAGTTTGCTTGCTTGCTTTCATTGCAACCCTCAAGACCCCCTAATTTGTATAAATATGAGGTTGCAAAGGGAATAATACTTGGAACACTTCAATCAAAAACTTGGGATGCTCATGAATGTTTCCATAGCACAGAGGTGCCAGTGTCTAATGGAAAGGAACAGTAAAAACCCCTCGGAGAGAGAAAGGAGGAAAAGGCATGGGAGTTTACAGCTCTCTTATTAAGAGAGCAATAATCACCTTTGCAGCAGGGTAAATGCTAAATCCCAGAAAGAGGAAGAGGCAAAGTCTGGCACCCAGGCCAATTGGACTGGCACTTCAGTCACCTCTGCCCAAGTAACCCAAGCAGAACTGCTGGCGCCAGAGGTGTGAGAAAAGGTGACAGGCAGTGTTCCCTCTAAGCTGAGTTAGTGTGAGCCAGCTCACAGTTTTTTAGCCTCCGGCTCACACATTTTTGCCTCAGCTCAGGTAGGAGGACTCCAGAGCAGACTCATGTATGCAGCAGCCTATTCGCTGGCTCACAACTTTAATGCCAGTAGCTCACAAAGTAGTATTTTTGCTCACAAGACTCCACAGCTTAGAGGGAGCATTGATGACAGGCTTGGCTTTTGCCCATAAATCACCTCCAGGTCCTGCACCGCCACCAACCAAGTTCAATGTGAATCCCAAGCGATGCTGCCAGAGCTAGTGGGATTTGGCTTGCTCCAAGTGAGTCCGACCAAGTACAGCTATTACCACGCTTCATTTTCCAGACGCATACTAGTATCCTCACAGGAAGCTACTGCATTTTTCTTCAGCACTTGGGTAAAAAAAGGTGTTGATAGTACCCCATCCTAGACCTTCTTCAGTTAGTAGAACCCTGTTCTTAGATATATTCTAGCTACTGTAAAAAATGTTACATACCTCAATACACACACACAAAAAAAAACAAATTCAGCAGCAAAGAGGGCAAACTAATCTTGTTCCTGAACATGAAGTTGCCTTATACTGTTTCATATCTTTGGTCAGGATTGCCTAGCTTAACCAGCAGCCGCTTTCCTGAGTCTCAGTTGGAGGTCTTTCCCATCATCTGCTACCTGATCCTTTCAAGTGGGATTCCTTTGCCACAGTTGCCTCCTTTATGACAGGCAACTCCCCTCCCTTGCCAGGTTGCTGCTGTACAAGTGACAGATTCCAAAACTGATGGAAAGGGAGCAGGCTGGTGATCTGTAGTATCCAGTTCTGTGTATTTTAGAAAACAGAATTAGTGCATTGGAAGCACTTTTAGAAAGACACTACCAATTCAGTGGCAGGACAGTTCATGCACTTGTTGCATGAAAATGGTTAATACACAAAATGAGCACAGTGTGGGCCAGAAAGACGTTACTTTCAGAAACTGGATTTTTTTGGGAGGGTATTATACATGAAGTTGACTTTTTAAAGTAAACAATAACTGTCCTTTGACTTTCTGCCTTTACCACAGCTGGAGTTCTGTGAAAGGTAAAGCTCTCTAAGAAAGGAATCAAAATCCTTCATTAGAAAATACTTTGGACAGATAGTCAAGGCACTTGGGAGAGCTTTAATTGAAAGTGCATCACTCAAAGAAACTACCACGTACTTGTGGAGGGATGACTGGTTTTTCCAGTCACTGCAGAAAAGGTTATATGCAAGAGTGAACATGCACTCGGAGTTCTCATTATGGCCTTCTACAGATCTTTTACAGGCTGACTCACATGCAGGTCTTGGAGGGCTCGGACTGAGAAAAATTACTTTATCAGCTAATTCTTTCTGAATAGCAAGCCACTGCACTGGCCCTATTTCAGCAATTCTCCGTTTGTGCCACACATCTACAACAACATCACTTTGGCAGTGTTCACGTAGAAACTCGGCAAAACCAAGGACTGTGTGGTGAATGCAGACATCAGGTGGATATATAACAAGGATCTTAACAGGCCTTTGTTGTATTGCAGGATAGGAGAAGGGCCACATCCTGACGGTACCTGTAAGAGGGGAGAGAGAAAAAACTTTGTTGATCTCAAAAAGTTCAGATTTAAGTAGCTCTAAAAACTCCAGCCATGCTGTGAATCTACTGTTAATACTGAGCATATGTGATAATGTCTCATGATTTTTATATGTCATAATTAAAAAAAAACAGCACAGGATATTACACACTTGAGCATTCATTATGGTATTAGTGCTGTGACATGAAATGAATACTATGTAGTTTCATGCAGTTTAGACCTAACAGACTGATTGTAGCATAAGTATTTGTGGGCTAGAGTCAGTTTCATCAGATACATGAAGTGAAGCTCCTGTCAGCAGATTAGACACACACAGGGGAAATGTGAAAAGTAAAGACAGTCTAAGGCATTTCTATGCAAAGCTCCAATGTCTGTACTTTACTTAAAATACAGTGCATTTCACAGTAGCTGTAAATGGTGATAAATCAGCTTAATTTAACTAAGGAGACAAGTGTATCACTTCTGTTTTAATCCTGTTTTAAAAGTTTTATTGTTGCACTTGTGAATGTTTAATTGTATTAATTTCAGTATCTTGAATTGCTAAGTACAATTAAACCTAGTGATAAAATATTGAAACAATCAGGGCTTAAACAGAGACTATGCAAATTAGGAGTCATCAATCACCCACCAAACCGTAATGCACTTAGCTTGGTAAGTACATTTAGCTTGGTAAGTACCCAGGGGCACAGATGTAATTTAAAAAGTGCTAGTAAATGGCTGTACAGTAACACACTCTGAAACGTATTGAAATATTTGTGCAATGCTGCATTTTAAGCAGCATGAAATGAAGAGGTCATATTCTTCTGTCTGCTCCTGGGTGGCAACTAGTTTTAGTAGACGCCCCCTTTTAATGAAGATGGGGAGCCATGCCTTCCTTCCTCACAGCACTACCTTTCCAAAAGCCCAGTAACAACTACTTCTGTTTATTCATTCCTTCATATTATTTGAGACTAACCTGCTACTCGTGCTTTGCGATGGTATTAAAGTTCCGTAAATCCAGTTATAATACTGATGATGTGAAGTCTGAAATGTGGCATTTGTTGTAGGAATTCTAACAGAGAAGATTGTAGTGTAAGAAATGAAGTGAGACACACGTACTTCTTTTTTTCTCTACTGAAGGACCGCTCTGTAGACCACATTGGTGGTTCTGCCTTCAGGTGCTAGGATCACCAGGCTGCTTGACGAGCTCACTCTGGAGCAGGCCACATAGAACTGCCCATTTAAGAAGCAGTCGTCTGTTAAGTCAACTCCTGCTACCTTCCATGAAAGTGATGGCCTCTCTACTTGTGTTCCTGGATTGTTGCACTCATATGGAGACTGTGTTGTTCTGAGCACCTCAGGATGATCTTGCTGGTACTTGGGCTGTGCAGCTCAGTGCATTGCAGGAGTACTATGTGCAAATGTCTTTGCCACATTCCTAAGTTGCCTCCTCCCTGTAGCATTGGTGTATCTGGCTTGACGTTTGCAGGAGCTTTCTTGGGGGCAGTGAGAGGTGTGAGGGGGAGTTGGTGTGAGGGAGTGGTGATGTGGTGGACATTTCTTCAGGTTTATGAGGGAGGCATACATTGAAATGGCTCCTAGAAATGCCCTTTACTACCTACCCATAAACATTCATACCCTGGCCCTGCTTCTACACCTGACAGACACCGGCCTGTCTGGTGTTGGGGGGGATTGTATTTAAAGGCATCGGGGAGGCTGGGCCAGCAGCAGTACTATGGCAATCCTGCTGAGCAAACCTCTCCGGCGGCTGTAAGGAGGAGTATTAGAAGCCACTGTGGAGGCAGGGCTGGCAGGAGCACTAAGGCGTTACTGCTGGGGCAGGCTCCCTCGTGGCTTTAAGCACCCTGCAACCAGTGCTGCACCTGACAGACAACCTCCTGTTAGGTGTAGGAGGTGGGGGG